AGCTTCTGATATTCAGGCTACAACCACACAGAGAAATTAAAAACATCTGTCTTTGTCTTAAAAAATGGAATTTTTATAGGATCAGAGGCCTGGCTGCCCCGGAGGTGACCACAGGGTACAGCAGACCTCTCCTGACCCGCCCGCTGCTCCCCTCAGCAGTGTATTTCAGTCAATCTGCCTGTTCTGTTCTGGTCCAGTTCCTGTATGAATAAAAAAATAAAAATATTAAAAAAAATAAAACAAAAATCCTCAAAACCTTTACATAGGTGTGTACATATTTGCTTTTGGCCCACATGTGGTGGTGGAAAATGGCAGTGTGACATGCTGGCTTTCAAATTTTGGTCTCTTTTTATTATGGAGCTCTGACCTTCACTTTGATTTTAAGCACTGTGTTACTATTCATTTAGATCCTATTCACTTCAAAATGCCAGGAATCTTCTAGAATGTTAAGCTGTGAGTCAAAAGGTCAGAGGGGGAGGCCCTCCCTGGTGGCGCAGCAGGTTAAAGCACAGCACTGAGAAGCTAAAGCCACTTCCGCATGAGTTCGATTCCCGCCTGCCCCGGAGGTGACCACATGGCGAGGCAGACCTCTGCTGACCCGCCCGCTGCTCCCCTCAGCAGGGTACTTTGATCATCTGCCTGTTCTGCTCCCCACTCTGTCTCTGGTGAATCCTCTCACCCTCCGCATCTCTGGCCTGTACCCCAGTTCTGTATGAATAAATAAATAAATCTTTAAAAAAAAAAAAAAGGCCAGGGGGGAAAGGATAAGTCATTCAGAATTGTCCTTTATAACAACATCTTGCTACCTTAACTATAATTATATCATTACTTGGCTAAATTCCTTCACTGGACAGTTTGTTTTGTTAAAATCAACTCTTGAAAGCAACCACAGAACTGTGATGGCCAGAGAGGGAGGGAGGGGCAACAGGGTGGGAGAGAGCAGAGCGGACTGCAGCTGGAGGGTTCCGGGCACTTTGATAGTAGGTGGACAAAGGGAACTCCACCTGAAGGAGACCCTAGACTTCCGAAAGTGTAACAAAGGTAAAAACTAAAGTTACTTCCGTAAAAATAAAATAAGATGGGAAGATGTTCAGTATTCTGCTCATAGGAATGCCAGCTCCGGAGTGACCTAGACAGACAGACTGCCACATGACAGGTGGTATGTCAGTAAATCTATAGTGATGGCTTGCCCTCGCAAGAATAACATACATACTCTTTGTTTCAAAGACGGAAAATCCACCCTGCGATATCTGATGCGGAGTCGGGAACTTCGAAATAGACAAATGACAGGTGGATGCTTCCAGAGATCACAGGCCCACTTAGGGAATTATTTTAATGGTACTTTATCATAGTTCTATTTTTGGTTTTCTAACATTTTTACATTTATTTATTTTTGAATTATATGTATTTTTACATCATTCGTCATTTTCATACCATGTATACTTTATCATCTCATGTATGTTCCCCAAGAAATTCCCACCATCAATTCACCCGGGTACCATCACCATAGTCCCTTGTGCTCTTCCCACCCCTTTTTGATAGAATTGCCTCTTTCCCACCCCAAAGAATGTCTCTGGTATATACAGATGACTGGGTCAAGAAAATGTGGTACATATACACGATGGAATATTATTCAGCAATGAAAATGATAAGCACATGCCATCTGCTGCAACATGGCTGGAGCTGGAAGGGGTCATGCTTAGTGAAATTAGCCAGAAAGAAAAAGAAAGATACCAGATGGTTTCTCTTGCAGTGGGAATGTAAGGGACCTAAATAAAGGTGGGGGGAGGGGGAGTAATTACAAAATTTTATTTTTTAAAACCATCAGTTTTTTCTGGTATAAGCAACCAATTTTTTAAATTGTGATAAGCATATACCATAAAATTGACCATCTGAATCACTTTTAAGTATACTTTCCAGTACTGCTATGTATATTCATATTGTTGTGCAAGAAATCTCTAAAATAGCTCATGAGGCAGAAATGAAATATTACACCCACTAAACAATAGCACCCCATTTCCTTCCCCACTCTGTCTCTGGTGAATACTATCACCACCCCAGTACCTCTGGCCTATACCCCAGTTCTGTGCACATAAATAAATAAATCTTTTTTAAAAAGGAGAAAGAGAAAGGCCAAAAAAATAATAGGCTAAGTATCAAACTCAAGAAAGCTAAAGACAGGTAAAATAATCTCAAGTGGGAATATAAGCATAAATATTAACCATACATAAACTCGATATATATTAGACAGACTTAATGAAGATAGTGGTGGT